TCCGGAGTGAAATCCTGGGTGAGAAGTTGATTTTCTTTTATTCACTCTCATAAATCTTCTAGTTTAACATAGCAGAGCCGAATTTTATTTTCCAAGGACATGATAAGTTATCTTTTTTTTTTTTTTTTGTTAGCCAAAGTTCGGTTTTCTTCTCCGCCGGATAATGCCAAATAACTAATCATTGCCACGAGAATAATTCCCACTGCCACTAACATAATCAGAAAATATTCTCTGCTGCCTAGTCCGCTCTTATTTAAAGCAGGGTCATTAGTTGATGAACGTTGATTATTACTTGAAGACTGCAAAAAGAGTTTTTTTAACTCATAAAGATTGTCTAGCGATTTTTTATTATTACCATAAAGAGGATTATCTTTTATATTTTGATAAGTGGTTTCGAGGGTCGCGAGGTCTTGACTAGTTTCCAACTGTTTCATTAACTGGTCAAATTCGGCCGCTTTTTGGGGGTCATTAGTAATAACTGTATTTTGTCCTGGCTTGGATTGTCTAGTGGGACGAGGATTGTTTTGATTATGAGAACATTGGGGGGAATGGTGAGGAATGGCATGGGAGCATTCCGGACAAGTATTTTCTTTATCGTTAGTCTCGCTATTATCGCCCACATACTGGTAGCGGTCACCACTTTTATCAACCCGAGGACTTAATTTCTGATTTTTGTCAAGCCAACTTTCCAAATATTCCATGGTGGAGTAAAAACGGTCATCATGGTCATGTTTGCCAACCGTAGAATAAAGATAAAGGTGGGTGAACTCATGAACTACTGTTCCCCTTAATTGTTCCTCATCTTTATATTGGTTCAAAAACGAAATAGTATAAATAAAAGGTTCTTGTCATCGAGAACCCGGAACTTCAACCCCACTTTCTTCATACACTTTTCAATGTTGGAGACCTCCACTTCTCTCAGTATTACCTAAGGTTGTAACGTTTCCTTCACTGCCTAAATCTTTTTCAAAAACTATGCGGATATCCTCATTGTGTCTTGGGTCGGTAATGAACTCCTTGACTAGCAAGTTGAAATATTTTTTGATTAGTTGCTGTTGCTGACTGATTGGTACACTCATTATTGGTATTAATTATTTTTCTTTACTATTTATAAATTTATTTTAATATTTAAACTATTTACTTTATTTAAAAACTTTAATTATAAATAGTGAAAAACAAATTTCTCCTTAATTATTATTGCCGGCAAGAACTAAAACGACAAAAAAATACTCTCAATTTAATTGCCAGTGAAAATTATCCTTCTCCAAAGGTTTTGTTTTATAGTGGCTCATTGTTAATGAATAAGTATGCGGAGGGTTATCCCGACAATCGTTATTATCAAGGCTGCAAATACGTAGACAAAATAGAAATTTTGGCGATTGAACTAGCAAAAGAACTTTTTGGTGCCGAACACGCTAACGTTCAACCCCATTCAGGGGTTCAGGCTAATCAAGCGGTTTATTTAGCCCTTTTAAACCCGGGTGACACCATATTAAGTTTAGATTTATTGGCCGGGGGGCATTTAACCCACGGAGCAAAAGTTAATTTTTCCGGATCCATTTATAAGGTTTACTATTACAATTTGGATTCTAATACCCAAAAGTTAGACTACGAGCAAATTAGGAAAAAAGCCTATGAAGTAAAACCTAAACTAATCATTGCTGGTTATAGCAGTTATAGTTTACAAATAGATTTTGCTAAATTTCGGGAAATTGCGGATGGAGTAGGTGCTTATTTACTGGCTGATATCGCTCATGTTGCCGGTTTGGTGGCAGTTGGTTTATTTCCTAATCCAGCCCCTCATGCCGATGTCATTACTTTTACCACTCACAAAACATTACGAGGTCCACGTGGGGCAGTAATTTTATCCAAAAAAGAGTTGGGGCAAAAAATAGATAAAGCGGTTTTTCCAGGCAACCAAGGTGGACCAAATCCGGCAATTATTGCCGCTAAGGCTCAATGTTTTTACGAGGTCTTACAACCTGATTTCAAAAAATATCAAAAAAGGGTCTTAGAAAACGCTAAAACTATGGCCGATTATTTTTGCGAAAAAGGAGTGAAAGTGATTAGTGGTGGCACCGAAACTCATTTATTAGTTATTGATACAAGGAGAAGTTATAATTTAACTGGTAAAGTAACTGCCGAAATATTAGAAAAAGTAGGAATTATTTGTAATAAGCAAATGATACCTTATGACTCAGAAAAACCCTGAATTAGTAGTGGTATTCGCTTAGGTTCGCCGGCTTTGACAACTCGCGGATTAGGAAAAAAGGAATTTCGGGAAATTGCCGAAATGATTGATTTAGTTTTGCAGAATTATAAGGATAGGAAAATAATTAAAAGTGTGAAAAATGAAGTTAGTTGTTTAATTCAAAAGTTTTCTTTTATAAGTTTTAGGCCCACTTTCCAAAAGAGTTAGTTGATTTCTCCTCCACCTAGGTTCTTACTTTTTGCTTTCTTGATTTTAACATAATC